TGAAAGAGAAATGTTAGTGTCTTTTCTATTTGGGACCAAACCACAGGACACTTTTCTCTTCCTACTTGTGATACTTGGGGTTTTTTTGCAGCATTTTCTCTGGAAATCCATCTTCATCGTCATAGTGGTCAGAAGGCTCCACAATAGCTGGACATGGTGTACTGGACACGGAGAGAAAAGTTTTTTAAGGGAAGGATTTAATAACTGAAGATGATTTTACTAGATTTGACTGGCCAAAGTTTAATTTATTTCAGTGAATCTCAGCAGTCTGTGTGTCCTTACGTGGTAAGCAGCAGTGCTCCCTCACTACAGCGTTCTAGAGCTTTCCTCGCTCCTGCTTTATTAGCAAACTCCACAATGCCTTTCCCTGTGGTACGTCCTCGATCATCTGTGATTACCACGGCTCGCTCCACTGGACCAAATTGAGAAAATGCCTGAAAACACCAGATTTTTTATTCATCATCAACAAAATATCAACATTGGACAGAAATGAGATTCTCCATACTGCACCTGTTCCAGCAGCTCATTGGTCACTACAGGGAGCAGGTTTCGGACCATAAGGGAGGCACCATGGGCTGCAAAACGAATCCTAATCGGTCGGTTATTCAATATCATACCATCTAACTCTGCTTTAGCGATTTCTGCAAGTGTTCGTGTTTCCTGGGGAGAAAAGAAATGATAATCGCAATGAATTTAATAGTGAGGTCCAATTGACTTGTAACACGAGAAACATAAATAATAAATAAAAAGGTTAATATTTCAATATAAAAATATTTAACAAACTTGTGAAATGTTTGAAAAAGAGCTATCATTAAAATTAACTTTTTAATTTTAACATTTAACTTTTTTTTAATTAATTTTAAAACAATTTAATTTTTTAAACACCAAAATCTCTTCAATTCTTGAAACGATGGCGTTCTGCCCGGCCCAATATGGCAGACAGGTTGACCTATGACAACTTACGTAAATGCGTAAACGAATACGCCTGCTACGTATAACAACATCTCATTTGTGCGCATGACAGCTCATGCTATAAGCAGCTAACTCCTGGTATTAATGTTTTGGTCGTTTTCACAATAGAAAATACAAAAAGTCAGAACTAAAATTACACGAGAGTTACTGACAATATGGCGGCAATAAAGAATTAGGCCGAAAGTTTGTCTTACCAGGCGGACGAAGCCGAAGCCCCGCTCTCTGTTTACAAACACCTCGTTAACCTGCCCATATTTTGTAAACATATTGGTGAATTCCTCCTCGGAGATATCGCCCGTGAGTCCCCCGACGAAGAGCCGACACCGCTGCGTGTACGTCTTTTCTCCGGGTCGCCGAATATTCGAGATATCCAGAGTCATTTTCTCTGGAGCTTCTTCTTTAATTTCGCCGGCTCCATCGTCCTCTTCGGCGGCGGGGGACGCCTCCTGCGACGGCGCTGGGCTGTCTTTGTTCCCATGCAACTGCTCTGCGACTGGAGAGTCGGAATTGTGCTTTGTCGGCTGAGGAGAGCTGCTGTTGGGCGTGCTTCTGTTAGACAT